ACAGGGATGCAGAGGTGAGCTGTGGAAAGAGATGCAGAGGTGAGCTGTGGACAAGTACGCAGAGGTGAGCTGTGCATGGAAGGTGCAGAGGTGAGCTGTGGACTGGGGTACAGAGGCGTGCTGTGGACAGGGACGCAGAAGTGAGCTGTGAATAGGGATGCAGAGGTGAGCTGTGGACAGGGATGCAGAGGTGAGCTGTGGACAGGGATGCAGAGGTGAGCTGTGGACAGGGATGCAGAGGTGAGCTGTGGACAGGGATGCAGAAGTGAGCTGTGGACAAGTACGCAGAGGTGAGCTGTGCACGGAAGGTGCAGAGGTGAGCTGTGGACAGGGACAAAGAGGTGAGCTGTGGAAAGGGATGCAGAGGTGAGCTGTGGACAAGTACGCAGAGGTGAGCTGTGCACGGAAGGTGCAGAGGTGAGCTGTGCACAGGGGAGGCAAAAATGAGCTGTGGACCAGGGATGCCAAGGTGAGCTGTGGACAGGGACGCAGAAGTGAGCTGTCCACAGCTCGCCTCTCTGTCCCTGTCCACAGCTCACCACTGCATCCCAGTTCACAACTCCCCTCTGTACACCAGTCCACAGCTCACCTCTGCGTTTCTGTCCACAGCTCACCTCTGCATCCCTTTCCATAGCTCACCTTGGCATCCCTGGTCCACAGCTAATTTTTGCCTCCCATGTGCACAGCTCACCTCTGCACCTTCCGTGCACAGCTCACCTCTGCGTACTTGTCCACAGCTCACCTCTGCATCCCTCTCCACAGCTCACCTCTGCGTCCCTGTCCACAGCTCACCTCTGCGTCCCTGTCCACAGCTCACCTCTGCGTCCCTGTCCACAGCTCACCTCTGCGTCCCTGTCCACAGCTCACCTCTGCGTCCCTGTCCACAGCTCACCTCTGCATCCCTGTTCACAGCTCACCTCTGCGTCCCTGTCCACAGCTCACCTCTGCATCCCTGTCCACAGCTCACCTCTGCGTCCCTGTCCACAGCTCACCTCTGCATCCCTGTCCACAGCTCACCTCTTCATCCCTATCCACAGATCACCTCTGTGTCCCTGTCCACAGCTCACCTCAGCGTAGCCTAATATGCTAACACTTATATGAGATCTTAGTGACTGGGTTTTCATATATATTAATCCTTCCTTACTTTATATGTGTCCTGTTTGCTGATAGACAGTTGGCTCTCTGGCTATCTCCCTGCATTTTCCGTCAATGTCATCTGTGCACCTGAGCTGCATTAAGGGAAATAGTAGATCAGTAGGGGGTATTTTGTGTATGGGAGTGAGTTCTGCAAAACAATGGTTCCCTGTAGATACACCATTAAGTGGTGCTTGTGACCCATTATCTGCAGAGCATATGCTCTTAGCGCTAGCTTCCTCTGTAACATTATATTTTAACTCCTTCTTCTCAGAAAGACATTGACTGTCCTTACTTATCCTCCTAAATCTTATTTCAATGTCTTCCCTTAAAAAAAAAGATTCAGAATTCATAAGGATATATTTGGAAAGTAATTTTCTCCCTGCAAAAGTTCTTATTCTTTTTTTGTGCAGATTACAAATATGAGTCTGATGGTACATCAGCTAGAAAGTCTAGATAAGAACAATGTCCTTGCAATCCACCGAGAAATTGGCGCTCTGAAGATTCGTTTGAAGAAATGTCAAGAGCACAGCAGTGAGGAAAATGCATATAGCCCAGCTGGTGAGCATCTCTTTTCGTCCGCTTTAGTAGATAGTGAAGAGAAAAAGGAAGTAGCAATAGAATACTAAGTGGAGATGGGAATAAAAGAGAAAAGCAGAAACCAACATGAATGAACTGTGTTTAATTTAGGGCGGAAAGTCTGAGGCTCCCAGCATTATCAAATTGAAAAATTCAACACTTTTATAACACAAAGTTTATACAGTTCTCCAAAAGATGTTAAATCTTTTCTAATGAATGAAAGAACTGTATATCGGCCCCATGGAGCAGCCCTGAGAATACCAAGAATCAGATGCTAGTAAAACTACTGCATTACATAAATACATGCTAACCCCATGTTACCCTTAGCAGACTTTTGCCTTTGACCCTAAATGATGGGGATGACTCATGCACATTCACATGCCCATGTAGAGTGGGGTGGGCCTGAATGTTTTGTGCAACATTTATTTTGGCTGCATTCACTTATATTAGCTCCCTCTCCGAATATTGATTTGACAATCAGAGGAAAGTGCTCTGGAAACACAGGTGCTAGATGCCTTTCTGCATTCAGAAGCCAGGCAGGGATTAGTAGGTTTCCTTTTTAGTTAAGCTCCTTCTGGGACTTTCCCCAGGAAGTGATATCACAACTAGAGATGAGCGAATTATTCAAAAATTCGATTCGACTGATTCGGCGAATTCGTGAAAAAATTTTGATTCGAGTCGAATATATTCGCTGCGAATTTAACTTATAAAAGGGTGTTTCTAGGCTTCAGAGAGCCTTTATATTAGTGCAGAACACTGTACCTTTAATTTAAATGCCCTTGGAGTCTGCTGGGGAAGAGAAATAATACTGTCAGTCAGTATGACATGCAGATGAGTGCCGTCGATCTTAGAATCACCGCACACTTCACTCATTTGGGCAGTCACGGGGCCAAAACCAGAGTGTGGAGCCACAGTGTGGCGGTGGAGGCAGCAGCAATGGGAGGCCATACAGCACCCTATGACAAAATGGAACCCACCAGCAGTGTGAGGAGACCTGAAAGTGGCACATGGCAGAGTGTGGCGATGGAGACAGCAGCAATGGGAGGCGGTACAGGGACCCATGACACACTCTGGACCTGGCAGCAGCATGAGGAGGCGGTACAGGGGCCCATGACAGATTACGGGCCTGGCAGCAGCATGAGGAGTTGGTACGAGGGCCCATGGCAGATTACGGGCCTGGCAGCAGCAATGGGAGGCCGTACAGGGACCCATGACACACTCTGGACCTGGCAGCAGCATGAGGAGGCGGTACAGGGGCCCATGACAGATTACGGGCCTGGCAGCAGCATGAGGAGTCGGTATGAGGGCCCATGACACACTCTGGACCTGGCAGCAGCATGAGGAGGCGGTACAAGGGCGCATGACAGATTACGAGCCTGGCAGCAGCAACTTGGACAGGAGGACGTTCAGCTTCTGCACCGTCGGGTGCGTGCTCGCAAACTGTTCTCTCTTGGAAACGGATTCCAAGAAAGACTGCTGACGGAATCCGTGAAGAGGAGTAGCAGGAGAAGGAGCATCTGAACGAGCGGAATATGCCAACAAGCGACAACAGGGGCCCATGACAGATTACGGGCCTGGCAGCAGCATGAGGAGTCGGTATGGGGGGGGCCCATGGCAGATTACGGGCCTGGCAGCAGCAATGGGAGGCCATACAGCACTCTATGACAAAATGGAAACCCACCAGCAGTGTGAGGAGACCTGAAAGTGGCACATGGCAGAGTGTGGCGATGGAGACAGCAGCAATGGGAGGCGGTACAGGGACCCATGAGACACTGTGGACCTGGCAGCAGCATGAGGAGGCGGTACAGGGGCCCATGGCAGATTAAGGCCTGGCAGCAGCAATGGGAGGCCCGTAATCTGCCAGCACCCTATGACAAAATGGAACCCTGGGCTGGGGCAGGCAGAACCGCCGTATCTTTATCACGGTTTTCCCAGGCCACCGAATGGCGACGCTGCATATGCTGACGCAACGCTGTAGTCCCAACATGGGCCCCCTGGCCACGCTTGACTTTCTGGCCACATAGTCGACATACGGCTACGTTTACTTCCTTGGGCGGCTTGACGAAAAATTGCCACACCGCCGAGTAGGAAACTTTGCCCCCGCTACTCCTCACTGGCTGACTGTTACTTCCTCTGTGCACACCGGCACCACTACTGGCCGTGGTGGTAGGCTGCAGTGGAGCTGGTGCTCTACTCCGTGGCCGTTTGCCTCCACTGACACTGCTGCGACCCTGCTGCCTCCTGGCAGCAGCAATGGGGAGGAGGAGGCGGTACAGGGGCCCATGGCAGATTAGGGGCCTGGCGAGCAGCAATGGGAGGCCCGTAATCTGCCAGCACCCTATGACAAAAAATGGAACACACCAGCAGTGTGAGGAGACCTGAAAGTGGCACATGGCAGAGTGTGGCGATGGAGACAGCAGCAATGGGAGGCCCGTAATCTGCCAGCACCCTATGACAAAAAATGGAACACACCAGCAGTGTGAGGAGACCTGAAAGTGGCACATGGCAGAATGTGGCGATGGAGACAGCAGCCATGGGAGGCCGTACAGGGACCCATGAGAGACTCTGGACCTGGCAGCAGCATGAGAGGGCGGTACGGGGGCCCATGGCAGATTACGGGCCTGGCAGTAGCAATGGGAGGCCCGTAATCTGCCAGCACCCTATGACAAAAAATGGAACACACACCAGAAGTGTGAGGAGACCTGAAAGTGGCACATGGCAGAGTGTGGCGATGGAGACAGCAGCAATGGGAGGCCGTACAGGGACCCATGAGACACTGTGGACCTGGCAGCAGCATGAGGAGGCGGTACAGGGGCCCATGGCAGATTAGGGGCCTGGCAGCAGCAATGGGAGGCCCGTAATCTGCCAGCACTCTATGACAAAATGGAACACACCAGCAGTGTGAGGAGACCTGAAAGTGGCACATGGCATGACACACTGTGGACCTGGCAGCAGCATGAGGAGGCGGTACAGGGGCCCACGGCAGATTACGGGCCTGGCAGCAGCAATGGGAGGCCTGTAATCTGCCAGCACCCTATGACAAAAAAAATGGAACACACCAGCAGTGTGTGAGGAGACCTGAAAGTGGCACATGGCAGAGTGTGGCGATGGAGACAGCAGCAATGGGAGGCCGTACAGGGACCCATGAGACACTGTGGACCTGGCAGCAGCATGAGGAGGCGGTACAGGGGCCCATGGCAGATTAGGGGCCTGGCAGCAGCTATGGGAGGCCCGTAATCTGCCAGCACCCTATGACAAAAAATGGAACACACCAGCAGTGTGTGAGGAGACCTGAAAGTGGCACATGGCGGAGTGTGGCGATGGAGACAGCAGCAATGGGAGGCCGTACAGGGACCCATGAGACACTGTGGACCTGGCAGCAGCATGAGGAGGCGGTACAGGGGCCCATGGCAGATTAGGGGCCTGGCAGCAGCAATGGGAGGCACGTAATCTGCCAGCACTCTATGACAAAATGGAACACACCAGCAGTGTGAGGAGACCTGAAAGTGGCACATGGCATGACACACTGTGGACCTGGCAGCAGCATGAGGAGGCGGTACAGGGGCCCATGGCAGATTAGGGGCCTGGCAGCAGCTATGGGAGGCCCGTAATCTGCCAGCACCCTATGACAAAAAAATGGAAACACACCAGCAGTGTGTGAGGAGACCTGAAAGTGGCACATGGCAGAGTGTGGCGATGGAGACAGCAGCAATGGGAGGGCCGTTACAGAGACC